CGCTCCGGGACTAGCAGCGGTCCAAACTTTTAACTTTCAGATGATAATTCAGATGAAGATGTATGCAGGATTATAATCTGTGTGCAACAGCTCACAGAGGATTAGCACCAGATGGCAAGAGGTGCAAAAACACTGCCTGTAATATAATGAAACTGTGACCAGTACCAACCTCTATATCCGTATATTATACCGTGTGTGCAGGTTAAACACAGCTCTAAAGGGATTGTGCTGAGTCATGATCAGAAACCACCATTTTCTAAATGAATCTGGTAATCCTGTATCATGGATATGAACGATTTAATCCCTGAATATAAACTGCACATAACAAACATTAATCTCAGAGAAAGAGAAAACAGGCGCCAGAGATAACTACTGAGACTCTGCAGGTAGAAATACACGCTAATACTGATGCTAACAATACAAATACAGAGTCTAAAAATATGAATACAATAATCAGAAAAGTGTTGGCAGGTCTATCAGAGTGTTTCCTGCAGACGTGTTGAGCCAATACTACTAAGATGAAGCCATTGAAGTAAATATGTTAAGTGTGTGTGTATTTGCATCGCAGAAAAGTGTTTAAACATAGCTAAAGTTAAACATAAGATATACATGTTTTTAGGAACAAGGTATTTGCGGTAGGAGAGCACTCATTCAGTGGAAAAATTACTTTAAACAGTCCCACTGCAGTAAAATTAAGTCCTTTTGATAGGTAGACATTCATCCAGAGTGCTTCGACATTTTATTTTAGAAAACTAGGAATATTTAAATGAATATCATGGTAAAAGACACTTAAAGTACAATTTCTAAAGTATTTATTTAAACAAAATGACCAGAAACAGAAGTCCTCATATGGTCAAAGAAGAATCATAGTCCCCGGTTAGACATGTAGACATGTATGTGTGTGTATCTATGTGTGTGATAGATAGGTAGAAATCCATAATTTCCCTCTTTGATAGGTAGATATCGTGCAAGGCTGCTTGACATTTTGTTTTTAACCTGTTAAGCCCCGAGCCTGTTTTCCAGGTCTCAGGCTCGAAAATGACATTCCCAGAACAAATGACCATAACTTCACTTCTAAAAGGAGTAAATTAATAATCTTTTTTCTTAAAGCACTGATAAACCTGTGAGTTGGATGTAGAAGAGTCAGAATCAATATTGATTTTTTTAATTGTAAGTAAATTCAGATTTTACATAGTAAAAAACTGTAAATTATAGTGTCCGTCCAAAAGAAAAACCTTACTTTTAGTGAAAGCTACCCTTGGATGATGGGTTAGTAGACTAAAAGCTTTAGGAATCCAAAGTACAACATATAATAAGTACCCTGTATCAAGATTGATGCAAAACAAGTGAAATTTGACCTTTTTAGAGAGATTTAGCAAAATAAACCCACTTCTGGGGTCATTTGGGTGGATTTGACCTATCTCTGGCCCCCCTTGCTCAATTTTGATGAATGAAATCTCTTTATAACCGCTAGAGCCAATGGAATCGAGGGAAAGTTCTATACACACTAACACATTAACAAATAAGGAGTGAGAGTGACGCGTGGCCAAAACCGGAAGCTGCATGCACTCTGGTGGCTACCATTAGCAGCTAATTTTTTTGCTCCGATATTTACATAAAAATGGAATTATGGATTATAAATAATTTTTTCAAAGCGACAGATACATTATTAACCTATGGATCAACCGA